TATATATATATATATATATATATATATATATATATATATATATATATAATTTTTTTCTTTTAAAATATTTATTTATTTATTTATTTATTTAGCTACACCGGGTCTTAGTTGCGGCATGCACGTGGGATCTAGTTCCCTGACCAGGGATCAAACCCAGGCCCCCTGCATTGGGAGCATGGAGTCTTAACCACTGTGCCACCAGGGAAGTCCCCTCCCTTATACTTTAAATCATCTCTAGATTACTAATAATTCCTAGTACAATGTGAATGCTCTGTAAATAGTCATAAATGCTGTGTAAATGCTGTGTAAATTGTAAATACAGTGTAAATGCTATGTAAGTAGTTGTCAGTGCAGCAAATTCAAGTTTTGCTTTTTGGAACTTTCTGGAATTTTTTTTTAATATTCTTGGGAGTTCCCTGGGTCTAGTGGTTAGTGTTCAGCGCTTTCACAGCTGTGGCCCAAGTTCAATCCCTGGTCGGGGAATTCCCACAGCCCCATGGTGCCGCCAACAAAAATTTTTTTTTTAATTTATTTTTTTGATCTGCGGTTGGTTGAACCATTCATGCGGATGCAGAACCCACAGATGTGGAGGGCCAACCTGCATATTGATTCCTACCCAGTGTGCCCAGGTGGAGGAGACAGGGCAGCCCTGGCTGCCCCATCTTCGTTCCTCGCTCCAGCCTCTGGGGATCAGGTTTGAGCCCAGGGTGAACTAAGGCTAGACCTGTAACAGGCCCAGGAAGTATGGCCCAGGCCTCCCTCTGCTTGTCCCTGGCCTTTTATCTCCCCAGGTAGCTGAGGAAGGGAAGGCCCAGCCCTGGGTAAACATCTACCCAGGATTCTGGGGTCCCATTTCAAGGAGAGAAGATGAGGAAGGGGGAGAGGGATTGGCCTTTGGGTCCTCCCAGAGACCCCTGTGGGTTCTAGACTGAGCCCAGCCCAGGGTCACAGTACGGAGCAGAGATGTGCCATGTCAGTGCCACCTAACTCAGAGATCACTTTTTTAAATCCTTTCATTTTATAGATCACAAGACTGAGGCCCAGGGAGTCTTGCTAACTGTCACCCCTCCTGGCAATCCTGCCCACACAAGTTTGGGTTGAGGGAGGTGGACCCTCTCTCATGGGTTCCTGGAGTCAGGCCATCGGGGTAGGGGACTCCTTCCTGCAATCCAGGGGATTTGGGTCCCAGCTCACCTCTCCAACCCCTTGGGAACTCTGAAAATGAGGGGGGGAAATAGGAATGCCCAGCTGAATGGGTGCATCCGTCATAACAATAATTAGGAAGGTGGGAGGCTTTAAGCAGACTAATTATGTAGGGTAGGTCTCAGCCTCGGTAAACCTCCCTTTGTATTTACTTAGCATCTGTACCCAGAAGCCATAAAGATGGGGAGTACCACCCAGGCAGGCAGCCCTGAGGATGGGGACTGTGTAACATGAGCCTGCTAAGGAAGTGGGAAGAGGGTCCACAGAAGCCATGTTGCAGGTTCGAAGGCTGCTGGGACTGCTTAGTCACTAGGCCCCTGGACAGATTGGTCATTAGCGCTCTTCCTTACTTATCAGTAGGCACTCGCAGACCTTGATCATAAGGAGGACATAGGAGTAAGGCCAGGGCAAGTTATAGGTTGGTGCCTCTCCAGGGCTCAGCCTGGTGGGTCTCAGCTAGCTATCATGGAAATAATCTGAAGCTCTGTATACAAAGGTCAAAGCATACAGTACATAAAAGGAATATTTGCTCAGAAAGCCCAGATATTATAAATATCTGGTGAAACCCTGTGGAGGCCTCTAAAGGACTGCTTGGCTCTGCCTATACCTGGGACCTCCATTCAACCAACCACTGTGCATTAAGCACCTACTATGCATCAGGCTCTGGGGAGATGCTGGGGATACCCAGATAAATAAGGTATGGTCGTTGCCTTCAAGAAGTCCCCTGGTCTAACAGCTGGACTCCTCCCCTGAGAACCAGACATCCTAGTTTGGCCAAGACAGTGTTGGTTTATGCCTGTTGTCCCAAGGTCATTATTAATAGTGTCCACTTTCACTCCCAGAGTGTCCTGGTTTGCATGATACATCACATGTTCACCCTAACCATAGCACAATGTATAGGCAATGGTGGAAATAGTTGGGGAAAGTGATGGGAGTAGTTGTTGTTAAGACTATGATGAAAAGACATTGGTGGAAGCGGCTTGAAAGTAAGAAATAGTCTGCTTAATATGTGATTGGACCACCAGACGATAGAGAAAGTGGTCAGAGGATGATGCTTTTTGTGTGTATCTGTTTCCCTATCCCCAGGCTTGCTGCTCACAGTGTTAAGACAGGGCTACGCTTTTGGTTATGAGCAGTGTTACCAACATGGAGGGGGCTTCCAACTTCAGCTACACTGGACTAGGTACAATTCTCCAAATTCCTTAAGTTTCAGTTGGGAGACTGTTAAAAGAATTATGGTACATCTACACACTGGGATATTATCCAGCCATAAAATGGAATGAGAAAGCTCTTTGTGTACTGATATCTCCAGAATATAGTAAGTAAAAAAATCAGGGAATAGCAGGTACAGTATGTTACCATTTGTGTAACTAAAGGGAAATACACACACACACACACACACACACACACACACACACACACACACACTCTTATATGCAAAGAATATCTCTAGAAGAATATAAAAGATCTGGTAATCCTGGTGGTCTGGGAAGGAAAACCAGATGGCTGGGGGCAGGTGACAGATTTCACTGTATACCCTTTTATGCTTTTTGATATTTGAACCATGTGAATGTATTCAAAGTTCTAAATAAAATTAAAAGGTTTTAAAAAAAACAAACGAGTGAATAAATTCCCAGGGTCCGGGCTTCCCTGGTGGTGCAGTGGTTGAGAACCTGCCTGCCAATTCAGGGGACACGGGTTCGAGCCCTGATTTGGGAAGATCCCACATGCCGCGGAGCAACTGGGCCCGTGAGCCACAATTACTGAGCCTGCGCGTCTGGAGCCTGTGCTCCACAGAGAACAAGAGAGGCAGCGATAGTGAGAGGCCCGCGCATGGCGATAAAGAGTGGCCCCCGCTTGCCACAACTAGGGAAAGCCCTCGCACAGAAACGAAGACCCAACACAGCCATAAATAAATAAATTTAAAAAAAAAAAATTCCCAGGGTCCCTCTTTCTGTGTCTTCCCATATGATTCCTCTGTCTTGCTCATTAAAATCCTTCTTATCCTTCAAAGCTTCAGAGGGGCTTCTTCCCAGAAGCCCTCCCTGACTGCCTCCCCTGCACACTCAGAACAGCCTTCTTTAAAGGCTTTTATTCTGCAGCCTTAGACGTGAGATTGCTGTGTGCATCTCTCTTCACCCACCAGACTGAAACTTCTCCTGGCAGGGACTGGGTCTGGTTCATCTCTGATCTTCCTGCAGTACTGAGCTCCTGCAAGCTTTGCTTGAAAGACAGAGCGAAGTATTTTGCACTATCTAAAGTGCTTTGATGACCACTATCTCCTACCAACAGTTAGGTAAGAGGCCAGACAATGGATGTTTTTATTTGACAGAGGAAGCTCCTGAGATTCAGAGGCTTGATAGTCAAGTGACTTGCTCAAGGTTACGAGAAGAGACAAGGTTGCAGGATGCAGATTTCCAATCCAACTCCATGTTAGGTTCACGTACCAACTGACTGCCCACCTTCCATGTGGTGGGCTATAGTCAGGTCTTGTTTTTATTTCCAGCCTTCTTGTGCAATAGTCCAAACTCATCTCCCCCTGGTCTAGCTCAGTCCCCTTATCCTCCACACAGCAACCAAAGCATTTCTCACCTCCCTTCCTCCTGCTTAAGTGCTTAAAGCCTTTCACTGGCTCCCCTTCCCATCACTCGTACTCCAGGACAAAGTCCATTTTCCTCTGCAATTTTTATGAGGCACTAGGCCCACCCCAGCCAACCTCTGCAGCTTCAGCTTCCCAATTTCTATTAGCTCCTGGAATATGCCTTAAGTGCTTCCCAATGACTTCCTGGGCCCGTGCAAGGAAGACCGTCTCACCCTCTCGGCTTGGAGAACTTCAGCTCACTGGCAAGAGACCTGGTAAAATGTCAGCTGGGCAGCATTCTCTGACTTCACTTCTCAGTCCCCACCAGGCCCCAAACATCTGAAACATGAACTACTGTAAAGTGTCCAGGCTGTGGATTTAGCCTGTTCTAGCTAAAGTCTTGCTCTCTGTGTGACCTTGATCTTAGCTTCCTCCACTCAAAAATGGGGATAATGTGCCAGCGCGGATGTGAGGACTCATCTGGTGGGGGGGGTGTCGAGGCCGCTGGCAGAGGGGAGCCCGTTGTGGCTCAGGACAAAGTTTGGTGGGCCCATCTCTGGCAATTCATCCCTATTAGCCACCCGCCACCCCTGCCTCTTGTGACCATGCCCTAGGCTACCCTCCACCCCCTCCTCAAGAAGCCAGACGCACACCCGTTCCACCCCTTCGGGGACGGCAAGCTCGGTGAGCACGGCGCTGAGGGTCATATTAACACCTCAGATTAGACACCGCGTGGTCATTTGGCAGATCTGCAATAGGAAGCCACTGGGGGAGGGGACTGTAAGCAATAGTAGCCCAGACGAGTCTCCCCACAAGGTCAAGGTGCCCGCCCGACGGGCAACGAATCGCAAGGACTACTCTCCGTAGCCCCGCCCCTCGAGGGGGCCCGAAACCTTTCTCTAGCCAGAGCCAGGGTACGTTCCCTTTAAGGCATTCAAGAAAGTCACCACGTTGGTACACAGCGAACGAGGCGTGGCGTAATTTGTCCCTCGCCGGCCTTCGTGGGCCGGGCCGGGCGCGAGGGCGGGGCAAGGGAGCGGCGGTGGGGTCAAAGGCCATAGCGCGCACCACGTGGGCCGGTGACTCCGTCCTTCCCGCAGCTGCAGCGGCGCGCAGGGCACTTGGGTTAGTGGCGCGGCGGGCGGCGCGGACAGCCGAGGCGGACGCCCGCTTCCGCCGCCATGGTCATCAAAACAGACGAGTTGCCGGTGGCCGCCCCGGCGGACAGCGCCCGGGAGCCCAGCTCGCAGGCCGGTGGCAAGGGGCGGCCGGGCGCGGCGGGTGAGCGGGGCCGGGGTCGGGGGGCAGCCGGGCGGGAGGCTGAATCGGGGGGGGGGGGGGGGGGGGGTTCGGGGTTGCGCGCGGACCGCCGCCTTCCCTCCTCGCCTGGCTGGGTTGCATCTCGCCGAGCCCTCCACCGGGCGCCCCCGCCCTGAAGGTCACCTTCACTGTCGCCCCCGCCTGCGGCCCGGGCTTCACACGTGGGGTCCCGGGGCGGGCAGCGGCGGCTAACACGCGCGTGCCGGATCGCGGAGAGACGTGCACGCGCATGCAGTTTCGGGGTGTGCCGGCTCCGCAGACGGACGGACGCGGCGGCCCCACCCCCTACGCCCCCAGGCATGGGGAACTCTCCGGACTGGGGTCACTTGACCCTTGCTCCATCAAGCAGCCTCTTCGCGTCAGGATCCCAAGCGTTCCCTGTGCACAGGGCTGCAGGTTTGCGAGTTAGACTCAGCTTGGGACTTCTCAGGCTTGGTCTGTGGGAAGAGTGCAAGTTGGGGTGTGTGTTTCGTGAGGGGGTTTCTGTGGTTCGTTCCCAGAGGCAAGGCTTTAACCCCAGGTCTGCAGGGTCTGATCTCCGTCCTGTTAGATGTCGGCCTGGCGGGCAGACCTGGGGGTCTGCCCAAACTCCTTGGCAGAAGGTGGTGTTTGTGCCAGAACTTGATCATTAACCCGCCTTATTGCGAAAAGTGGGTCAGCCCAGAGTTGCTGTTTTTAAGGCAAAGGTCATCAGCATGGAGTCAAGCTCCCAGCTCTCCCCCGTGGGGCTGTGTGGCATTGGCTTTGGGAGTGGCTGCAGTTTTTCTCAGGTGGGGCCTGCCTCCTGGGCCTCCTCTGTTCCCTCTGTTCCTTCCATCACATCTTTGACTACAACCCTGAGGTTGGAAGCCCCTTCCCAGCCCTTGGGTTGTCATCTCCAAACCTTCCTCAGAGTCCCAGGCTGTGTCCCTCTCTGCCCTGGGTGACAGTGGGAGTGCAGAACTACCCGTGCCTCCCACTCCCCATAACTCTCCTCAAAAGGGACTTGTCATCTTCATCTCCCTTCCCAGCTTGTGTGAGTCAGGACAGGAACAGTGTTAGGTGGGTTCTCTGACCCTGTAACTGATCACAGCCAGGTTAGCTGATGGTGGGGGATAGGTACTGTGGCAGCTTTGTTGATTGCCTAGAGAAGGCCAAGGTTTGGGCAGAATGACAAATGCTGATGACTTCAGCCTGCCAGGCTTCACCCTGATGAGGTTCTGAATCAGTGGAGCAGGCTAGATAAGAGGAGGTCGATTTCCCCTCCAGCAAAGAGACCTGAAGAGATGAAGCGACTTGCCCAAGGTCACACAGCAATTCAGCATTTGGATTTCCAGCTCACAGCCAGATTGCCAAGGCTGCCCTGGCCTGTCCCAGAGGAAGCTGGGAGAGGCATGTTGGCTGGGATCATATGCTGAGAACATAGGGACTGAGGAGAGGGGAGAGTGTTGGAGAATTTCTTTGAGGGGGTCTGTCTGGGGCAACCTGGGTCAGGGGAGGGTACAGCTGTTCATTTTGGGGAAACTGGAAGCATACTAGCAGGTGGAACATTGGCTCCCTAAGCCCCTGGGAAGCTTGTATAGAGCTAGGACTTGAAATATAGCCAGTCTGAATCTATTCAAAGGAGGAGGAGGCCTTAATGGAGACCCCCAACAGGCCCTCACCCAGGCTTCTGACCTCAGAGCCCAGCTCTGGAAGTCCCCTTGAGGGGGACTGGTCCCCTTGAGGAGGTGATCAAGGCCTTTTATGGGGGGACCAAGGATCAGTTGCCTTACTGGGAAAAAAGCTACTTTTAGGGGTTAAGAGAATAGCAGGTTTTTCAAGTTCATGGTGGTGTGTCGAGTTCCTTCTGCCTAGGGGAGGGCTCCTTGGAGTTGAGGCCCAGAGCGGAGGGGAAGGGGGCTGGCAGACAGGAGAGGAACTTGGGGGCTTAGGGGAGCTCCTGGACAGGACCCAGAGCTCTTCTTTTGGGTAGGTCTGAGCAGAGCAGCTCAGGGAACACTGGACTCTCCCCAGACCCTGCAGACCGCTTCTGGCCTGGGTGGAGATGGGAAGGAGGCAAACAGATGCCTACCTCCTTGGGCTCTTCCTTAGGCTGCCTGCCCCCACCCCTTTCTCTTGAAGCCCCAGATTCCTGGGATAGGGTGATATGCCTTCTGAGGCCTAACTTCCTGCAGGAGCCTCACCCTGTGAGGTTTTGGCTAGGGCGGGGCCTGGCCCTGGCACAGTCTACTGAGTGAGGCCATGCCAGGCTGGGAAATGCACACAGGGGCCACCTGGGATGGCTTACGTTTCTTTTCTAACTCCTTTCAGCTGCCCATTGGGTCCGCGTTCTCCCAGGCCAGGCCAGGGCTGTGCTTTATTTCTTCATTCTGGTCTGGCCAGTGAAGACTTGGGGGGCGGGAGGTGTATGCCATGCTGTTTGGGCAGCCCCTTCCCATTCTGCAGAGGATCACCTTTCTCCTTCCCTAAAGCCCAGATCCGCAGGGGTGCCCCCTGGGGTAAGGAAGCAGGGGTGTAGAGGAGGGGGGTACTGTTTACCTGTTGGGTGCTGCAGCCTAGGGGCTGGCACTCAGGCCTAGGCTTGGGCGTCTGACAAACCTGGCTTTTTTCTTGACCTGGCTTGGCTGCCTGTTGCCTCTGCGACCTTGGGCAGCTTGGTTACTAAGCTTCTGGAGCCACAGTTTCCTCAAGTGAGATGGGCTGGTGGAGCTGATGGAGGGACCTGCTACGGGCTGGGCCTAGAGTGAGCGTTGGCTCTGTGGTAACCAGGGTGGGAGTGGTTGTAGCAGTTACGCAGGGGTCACTGCCAGGCTGCTCTGCCCCCCGCTTCTCCACAGGGCTGGGGTGTGTCTGGGGAGGGCGGCGGAAGAAGAGGGGCTCTGCCGGGGCCTGGCCCTTTGTACCATCCGCTGAGTGTGCGCAAGCCAGAACCCTTGGTGGAGGGTGCGGGGAGCCGTGGGCCTGCTGGGTGCCAGCCCTTCAGGGCTGCCTGGAAGGGACTAGACGGGCGGGGAGGGGGCCTGAAGGGAGCCTGGCTACCCACCCCCACCCTGGTTAGTATGGATGCCGGAGCAGTCCCGCCTGGGCCCTGGCAACAAGTCAGAGGCCCTGGGAAGGCGCCCTGGCAAGGCTGGGCATGTTCCTTCTCCACAGCCGCGCGGCCTTTGGTCTCTTGCTGCCAGCTCTGTTTTCCCCAGGGGAGAGACTTGATTTTCTCCTGGCAGCGCAGGGGCTGCTGGGGAGGGAAGTCGGAGCCTGCCAGCTTCTTGGTGGAGCTGGAGGCCTGGGGCACGGGTGCAGTTGTCCTCTGGGCGTCTGGGGTTAGGGTTCCCACCAGAGCTAGTGACTCTCAGGAAGGGGAGAGCTGTCAGGTCACCTGCAGGGGGCAGCACGAGTCAGAGGCCCCAGCCAGCCTCTTGACCCAGGAGGTGGGCAGGGTGCTCAGTGCAGCCGGTGGACGGGGGCGGCCACCTCGTGGTCTGGGCCCGAGTCTGTGCCAGCTGTTGCCGGCAGCCGGCTGAAGCGGTCCTGTCCACCCCCACTGGGGTTGGGGCCGAGGAGAGGACCCCCTTGCTGGGCTGTACCCCTGCCAGCCAGTCCCCAGGGCCCTCGATCCTGAGGGGCCCAGGTACCCCAGACGCTGGGTTCTCCTGCCCCGCTGACTGCTTCACCAGCAGGGACCCTCTTTTGCGGGGTACAGGGAGATGGGCCTGAGCACTGGTGGCAGCTCCACCTGGGGTCCTGGAGCCACCAGGGCCTCCGGGCCCACGGCCGTCCTTCTGGCCGACCTTGAGCAGGATGCGAGGCAGGGGGACTGTGCCCTTCCCAGGGCCGCCCAGCAGGCCTGGCCCTGCTGAAACCCGAAGCCAGCCGGCGGCCAGCTGCATGGCGGCAAGGGTAGAGGCAGAGGCCGGAATGAGGCACCCAGGCAGTGCCGGGCCTGAGCTGGAGAGCTGGCTGACTTGCTGCCATGGAGGTCCTATGACTCCAGAACGCGGGTGAGGGCAGCCGCTGACCACACCAGGTGGGCTGTGGGGACAGGGAGCCAAGTGGCTGGCCTCTGGTGGGGAGGCCACTGGGCCTTGATCCCGCTGTAGGGAGACCTTGAGGGTGCTTTGCAGGAGAGAGGAGGGGCAGGGCGGGCTGGCCTTAGGGGAGTGGAGGCCCCAGGGAACCAGCCACATTCCTTTGAAATCTGATAGGAGGTTGGGTGCCCCCTGGGGCGGGAGCCTGCAGCAGAGGTGCCTTCTGGGCAGGCTCCCTGGGCCGGGGGGGGGGGGGGGGGTGGGGGCGTGGGAGCTGTGGCCACCCTTGCCCTCCTCTCTGTCCTCCTGGCCCAGACTCAGGGAGCACAGGCCACCTGTCTGGGTCCAGGTCTCTGGTTTCCCACTTTTGGGGTCTCAGAGACCTCAAAGCTGCTGTTCTGTATTGGGCAGGGGCCCCCTCATCCTAAGGTCTGGTCAGCCAGCAAAGCGTTTCTCAAGGCCTCAGCTGGGGGAAGGCCTCCTCATAGCTGTCACGCCTCTTGCTGCATTTTGAAAACTGACCAACCACCACCCTTCTCCTGCCCTCCTGTCCCTGTCTGCTGTGTCACAGAGTCAGCCAGGTTCTCCCTTTGGGGCCGGCTGCTCAGTTTCCAGGGGCTTGGGGTCGCCCCGCCTAGGACTGTGGGCTCACTTGAAGGAGAGGTCCTTGTGCGTCCTTGTGGTTGTTGGGAGTTTACCTTCAGGTTAGGAGCTTAGGAGCCGTGTGCTGGGGACGGAGGTGGTGACAGCTACTGAAGGCCCGCCGTGGGCCAGGACTGAGGGCAGTGCAGCCATGTGGTAGGGGGGCTCTCCAGGGGGGAATCTAGGGTCCGCTCTTGACTCTTGACCTTGGGCAAGGCACTGAACTTCTGGGCCTCAGACATCCTTATTTGGGGGAAGGAGGAGGGGACCGTATCTGAGCTCCTGGCTGTTCTGTTTATCACTCAGTTGAGGGGACGCGGGAAGAGGGAGTGGCTTCTCTCCACGTCCCGTTCCCGGTCCCGGTCCCCCCGTGTGCCCTTATGTGTCAGGCTTATCTGGACTTGTATACATTTCCCGAGGCCCCTGCTCCATGTTTCTGGTAGGTCTGGGTAGAGCCCACACAGCTCTGGGGAGGTGCACCCCGTCCCCACTTCTCACAGCTGGGTAGGAAGAGGAGGTGGAGTCTGGATGGGTTGGGGTCCAGAGCAGAGCTGGCTGAGCTGACCTGTCTGGAGCTCCCAGATAAGCAAGGGGCCAGTCTGGCTGCCAGGCAGGCCCTGGGCCGGAAGGCCCTGTGGGCCAGTGGGGCTCCAGGTAGGCCTGTGTTTCGCTGGAGGGTTTCTGCGAGGCCATCCTCCTCTCCCTCAGCGGGGCAGGGCGGGAAGGGCTCTCCTCTGTTCCCCTTAGTGCCTGCGGAGAAATGAGAGCTTTTGTCACCTGCTCCTTCTCCCCACAACATGTGAGTCGGTTGCTGGTCACAAGTGCGGGGCTTTTACAGTAATTAATTCATTAATTCAGTGCCTTTCTGTTGAGTGCGGGCAAGACAGGAGGAGGAAGATAGAGCTGCTGGTGTGAACAGCCCCCCGAGTGCAGCACGGCACTGCTGCCAGGGGTCATCGGTCAGGCTTCAGAGAAGAGAGTTTATTTCACCTAGGCCTTGACGGATGAGTAGGATTCTGCCCGATGGAATGGTATATGGGGGGCAGCATAAACAAAAGCGCAGGTAGGAGGGAAAATGTGTGGCTTGTTCTTAGGCTTTTGAGTAGTTTGGTGTAGCTGCACCTTGATGGGGAGAACTCGCAGGGGCTGAGGTGGACTTTAGGTCTAAGATGTTCAGTTCCTGTGAACGGTAGAGCAGTGGAGAGTATTAGAAGGTTCTGAGTGGTACCTTTTTTTTTTTTGGAAGAGGAAAAAGAGCTATATTTATTTGATTCTATGGATTTTCACTTATTCCTATTAACCATTAATTGTGCAGATTTACCATTAATTGAAATATTTTATCTTTTTTACTATGGTCACCTTTAATAACAACTTAAAAAGCACTTTATTTAAAAAAGGAGTTATCTGTATTTACCAGAATTTCATTTGTAGGAGCACAAGTGTTGTCTTTGGATCACATTTAGCTACTCGTCTAAGGATATGGTCACACTGTGGGAAGGAAGATCACTTGTAGACTTTGGATATAAAACATGAACAGTTCACAAAAGTTGGTATAAGAATTTGCTTGCTACAGTTTCAATGCCCTGGTTTTCTCAAAAAGCTCCTGATACATTTTTTTCTAAAATAAACACTGGTTTAACAATTGTGTCATACAATAATACAGGCTTATTGTAAACACCTGGAAAGTACAGACTTTGTAAGGAAAGGATTATATCACTCTTAATCCTGTCATTTAAGGAAAGCCACCGAATTCTGAGTCTTTTAGTCTTTCTACTGGAATAGATATAAATGTACATATACACACATAATTAGGACTCGTGCATGTTCCAATTTTTTTTTTTAATTGAACTACAGTTGATTTACAATGTTATGTTAATTTCAGGTGTACAGCAAGTGGTGTTCTTGAAATAGGGAAATGGCCTGCAGCAGCCCTGTGACCAGTTTGGAGATTAGGTTGGGTGACTAGATAGGGATGGGGGGGCGAGCATTCGCAGAGCAGGGGCTGGTTTGTGGAGGAAGATAAATTCCATGCTGACAAGATGAGTCTGGTGAGGCCTAAGGGATGGCCACATGTTGAAAAACTGGAGCGAGGCCTGGATTGGTCACGTGAGCTGGGAGACGGGAGGGCATTTGCAGTCACGAGCAAGGGTGAGATGGGAATGAGGAGAGGCTGGGGCCCGGGACACCCACAGCTGGACTGCCAGGAGGAGGTCAAGCTGGAGAGAGAAGAATAAGAGCAGCAGAGTCCATCAGGGAAGAGGAGGAAGTGAGCGGTGGGGGCAGGGGAGCCAAGCAGCTAGTTGCCTAAGGCCAGAGCAGACCCTCAGGTTTGGCCCTTAGGGTGGCATTGGTGACTCTGGGGAGAGTGGTCTGGGTGGCCTATTCACACGGCCGCCAGACTGGGGGCCTGAGGAGCAGATAGGAAGCGAGGGCCCGGGGTGCGGAGGCGAGCGAGCGGGCAGTAGCCTGCAGGCGTGCCCTGGGGTGCGGTGGGACCAGAGTCTGGTGCAGGGCCGAGTCTTGGGAGGACAGGCAGACGCCATTCTGTAGGACTGTGTCTACCCTGGTAGGTGAGGCAGACCTCACCAGCGAGGCCCGTCTGACTCAGCTCCTTTCTTTTCCCCCGCAGAGCTGCCATCAGTCATGCTGTTGAATGGGGACTGCCCAGAGAGCCTGAAAAAGGAAGAGGGGGCTGCCGAACCGCCCCGGGAAAATGGGCTGGATGAGGCTGAGCCGGGAGAGGAGACCACTGGACAGGAAGTCATTGTCATTCAGGACACGGGCTTTTCTGTGAAGATCCTGGCTCCTGGGATCGAGCCCTTCTCCCTCCAGGTGAGATGATAGAGAGGTACTGGGGGCCAGGGCCTGCGCCTGTTGGGGAGGATGAGGGTGCGAAGCCAAGCTTTGCCTTTGCCCGGTCTGGCCCCATGTTGAGGCAGGAAACCGAGGGTCCTGTGCCTTCCAAGGTCACTCAGCTAACGTGGTGGACATGGGAGTCCAGGTTCAGGCCGTTGCCTCATTCCAAGGGGACAGATCCCAGCTGGGACTGCCAGCCCTGTTTGGGGATCGGTATGGTAGTGGCTGGGTAGTGTTGGGGTCCCAGGGCTCCCCACCCTCAGGTCGGTCAATTCTCTGGCTGGAGTTTTACCGTCTGTCTGAGAGGAGAGGTAGTGGGTGGTCTTCAAGAGCAGAGCCAACCCAGAGGTCTTGTAAACTGTTACTCATTGGGGAACAAGGTGAGGCCCTCTTGTGTCTTCTGGAGCCACAGGCTTCAGCCCCAGAGCACACCTTCCTGAAGGGGGAAGCCATTTGCCCTGGGGACCTTGGCACTGGGCAAGGGAGGAGGCAAGATGACTCTTTTCTTTTCCTTGTTTTTACACCTCCTGCTGCTCTACTCAGGGCCTGCTCTTGGTCTGCAGGAATAGTTTAAGCTTGTGGGTAACAGGGCAAGGCTCTGTCCTGCACGTGTGCATATATACCCTGCACACACACACAGGTGCAAGTGGGCATGGTATGTATGGGCAGGGCCTGGAATTTAAAATAAAAGCCAAAAAGGGGGAAACAGTATTTGGGGCATTGACTTTAGGGACCCAGGTACTTTGGGCTGGGGAATCGGTATGTTCTCACCAGGTTGGTCGGGGCCTTCTCCCTGGCAGGTGTCCCCCCAGGAGATGGTACAGGAGATCCACCAGGTGCTCATGGACCGTGAAGACACATGTCACCGCACCTGCTTCTCACTGCACCTGGACGGCAACATGCTGGACCACTTCTCAGAGCTGCGCAGTGTGGAGGGGCTGCAGGAGGGCTCGGTGCTACGCGTGGTGGAAGGTTTGTCCGGAAGTTGTGCGGCCCGCCAAGGGGGGACATGAGGAGGCGGGGCCAGGCAGCACTCACCCCCACCCCACCCCTCCCGCTGGTACCTTGGTGTCACTGTGTCACAGATGAGCATGTGGAGGCTCAGGGCAGCCTTGAACTTGTGGAGGCAGGAGAAGACAGGACAGGAGCACAGGTCTGCTTCGCAGGCCGTCACAGGCACACCCTCCAACTTCATGGGCTGAATATCAGAGTCGTGATTTTAAACAAAACAAACAGTACCAGGCAGGTGCTTGAAGTCAGCCTGTTCAAATTTTATAGATAAAAGTGCAGTCTCTTAAGGAAACTAAGGTTTCACGGCTCTTGAGCAGGGAAGTCGGGCCCAGTGTGGGACAGTCAGCTGGCGTGGTGAGTCTAGTTTGTTTGTAAAAAAAAAAAATCACGTGAACTTAGGTTACCTGGGGAAAGGTGGCACTGCGGTTCTAGGCATGTCAGCCAAGGAGCACATGTGGGAAAAATGTAACCCAGCTGTGCCCAGACTTACCTAATGACGAAACCTCTGTCCTTCCCCAGAAGAGCCCTCATTGAAATTTCATGAAACATGAGTTGGGGAGCAGTGTTGCAGTTTGAGGTCCTGTAAGTCCTCAGGCCACCCCTCCGGCCAGGGCTGCCCTGGGAGAACTGGACTGAGCCCATGGGGACCTAGCAGCTGTGCCGGGCTGCCCACCCGAGACACTCGTGGGCAGAGAGCAGGGGGCTTCTGTGTGCACTTCCAGAGGCATTTCTTGTGCCCTTTGGCATAAGGTTCTTTGCAAACAAGGATCCCTGCCCACCAGCAGGCAGGTGTATGTGTTGAAAGCAGAATTCCAGCTTATGTGTTCATAAGGGAATTTGTAAGTGAAAGCCTAAAATTAAAATCAAGAACACCCCTGGTAGTGCCATGGCCGACTTTTCTCTGCTGGGTGGGTTGTTGCCCTGGTAACACCCTGCCCATCCCCCTCCCGACAGAGCCATACACGGTGCGAGAGGCCCGCATCCACGTGCGCCACGTTCGAGACCTGCTCAAGAGCCTGGACCCATCCGATGCCTTCAACGGGGTTGACTGCAATTCCTTGTCCTTCCTGAGTGTCTTTACTGATGGCGACCTGGGAGGTGCGGGAGGCATTGGGGCTGGCGGTTGGGCAGACGGGCCGGGAGCAAGTTGGCCAGGGGCTGGTGAAGGGGCCAAGGGCTCGGCCTTCCCACCTGGAGGGAAGCGGGGCTGGAGGCACACAGACCAGGGCCACCTGAGCTGGGGAGGGAGTTGGCCTCTGGGTGGTCCTGGGCTTACCACCAGCCTCGGGTCCCTCAGACAGCGGGAAGCGGAAGAAGGGCTTGGAGATGGACCCCATCGACTGTACACCGCCCGAGTACATCCTTCCAGGGAGCCGGGAGCGGCCGTTGTGTCCTCTGCAGCCCCAGAACCGTGATTGGAAGGTGGGAGCAGGTCTCTTGGGGCAGGGGATCGCCACACCAGGAAGCCTGGCCCACTCACGCTTGGCCATTCCTGCAGCCCCTGCAGTGCCTGAAAGTGCTCACCATGAGCGGCTGGAACCCACCCCCCGGGAATCGCAAGATGCACGGGGACCTCATGTACCTGTTTGTGATCACAGCCGAGGACCGGCAAGTCAGCATCACGGCATCCACTCGGGGGTTTTACCTGAACCAGTAAGTCCCTGTGTGAGCCCGTTCGGAATCCGCGGGCAGCCGCTTGGGGTGCCCTGCACAGTGGCCACCGTCTCCCCGCAGGTCCACAGCGTACCACTTCAATCCCAAGCCTGCCAGCCCCCGCTGCCTCAGCCATTCCCTGGTGGAGCTGCTCAACCAGATCAGCCCAACCTTCAAAAAAAACTTTGCCGCCCTGCAGAAGAAAAGGTAGCACCTTGGCCCATCTGTCCCTCATCTCACGTCCCATGGGGTGGGTGAACCATACAGCCTGAGCTCGAGCCCTCCTGCCCTAAGCTGTGCCCCCAGCAGCCCAGAGCTCCCTTCTAGGCAGCAGTCAGCCTAGCAGCCCTAGGACAGGCGGCCGTGTGCTTCCGTTGGACTCTCCAGGGACAGGGCCTTGGTGGGGAGACGGCAGAGCCAGTGGGACCTTGGAGAAGGGGCCCAGGGCAGGGCTCTGGGCTCAGCGGACTGCCCCATCTCCCCTCTGCCCACCACAGGGTCCAGCGCCACCCGTTCGAGAGGATCGCCACCCCATTCCAGGTATACAGCTGGACAGCGCCCCAGGCGGAGCACGCCATGGACTGTGTGCGTGCAGAGGACGCTTACACCTCCCGGCTGGGCTACGAGGAGCATATTCCAGGACAGGTGCCTGCAGCCTGGCGGCCCACCCTTAGCTCTTCCCTCCCTTCCCCTGGTGGGCGCCAGGCTGGGTTCTGGGTGCTTGGGGGGCTGTCTGCGGGGAGGCGGGAGACGGGACTGCCCCTAGCAGGTGCTAGGGGCTCAGGTTGAGCCGGTGTCTCCCTCCCTGTCCTGCTGTAGACCCGGGACTGGAATGAAGAGCTGCAGACAACACGGGAGCTGCCTCGGAAGAACCTGCCTGAGCGGCTGCTGCGAGAAAGAGCCATATTCAAGGTACCCGTGGCCCCTCAGGCCTGACCAGTGGCCACAGGCCCTCCTGCCACCTACCTGCTCGTTTTCTGTGAACAAGACGGAAGCCGGGGTGGGCCATCAGGGACCTTCCAGGGCGTTCTGCCAGCCTTCCGCCTCCTGGTAGACGACCCCAACTCCTTCTTCTGGCCTCTCTGAGATTTAGCGTCTGTGGGCTGGAACCGGTGGGGACACGCCTCTAGGATGGGCTGAGTGGCAAGGTCCATGACAGCTTCCCTCCCAGCCCACCCACGTGGAGCCCTCAGCTGGACACACGCGCCCTACTGAGATATCCTTAGTGTTTTTCCTGAGACAGATGAGGAAAAAGCAGTGCTTTTGAAAAAAGTTTATTTGAAATCTCCCATAATCTTACTAGAGGTGATAATGGTAAAAATAAGATCTAAAGTCCGGGGTGCTCACTTTGCCAGGGGCTGTGCCAGGTGCTGTGTAGGCATTACCTCCTGTAATCTTCCAGGCACCTTGTAAAGGCTGATACTTTTATGTCACAGCTTTATAGATGAGAAAACAGGTCTGAGAGGTGATCCAGCCAAGATCACCTGGCACGTATTTGGTGATTCCCAGACACACCCCAATCCTCACTCTCCCTTTTAATCACTAAGCTCTGCTCTCTCTCGCAGTATAAGTGTTACATTTTTTCAAAACTGGGGTTTCTTTTTTTTTTTTTGATAAATTTATTTATTTTATTTTATTTATTTTATTTGTGGCTGCGTTGGGTCTTCGTTGCTGCGCATGGGCTTTTCCCTGGTTGTGGTGAGCGGGGGCTACTCTTCGTCGCGGTGCACAGGCTTCTCATCGCGGTGGCTTCTCTTGTTGTGGAGCACGGGCTCTAGGCACGTGGGCTTCAGTAGTTGTGGCGCATGGGCTCTCGAGCGCAGGCTCAGTAGTTGTGGCTCGCGGGCTTAGTCGCTCCACGGCATGTGGGATCTTCCCAGACCAGGGCTCAAACCTGTGTCCCCTGCATTGGCAGGCGGATTCTTAAAAACTGCGCCACCAGGGAAGTCCAAAACTGGGGTTTCTTGCCCTCTTCCAAATGTGAGGAAACTTTGTCCTGCTTACCTCCACCAGCCCCGGGCGAGCTTGGCCAGGCGGGATGAACCCCGCGGCTCTCTCACCCTCCAACCTCGGGCCCCCAGGTACACAGCGACTTCACGGCGGCAGCCACGCGGGGCGCCATGGCCGTCGTCGATGGCAACGTGATGGCCATCAACCCCGGCGAGGAGACCAGGATGCAGATGTTCATCTGGAACAACATCTTCTTCAGCCTGGGCTTCGATGTCCGCGACCACTACAAGGACTTCGGGGGGGACGTGGCGGCCTACGTGGCGCCCACCAATGACCTGAACGGCGTGCGCACGTACAACGCCGTGGACGTGGAGGGGCTGTACACGCTGGGCACGGTGGTGGTGGATTACCGCGGCTACCGTGTCACGGCCCAGTCCATCATCCCTGGCATCCTGGAGCGGGACCAGGAGCAAAGCGTCATCTACGGCTCCATTGACTTCGGCAAGACGGTGGTGTCGCACCCACGTTACCTGGAGCTGCTGGAACGCACGAGCCGGCCCCTCAAGATCCTGAGGCACCGGGTGCTCAACGACCGGGATGAAGAGGTGGAGCTCTGCTCCTCCGTGGAGTGCAAGGGCATCATCGGCAACGATGGTCGCCACTACATCCTTGACCTGCTGCGCACCTTCCCCCCCGACCTCAACTTCCTGCCCGTGCCCGGCGAGGTGCTGCCCGAGGAGTGCACCCGCGCCGGTTTCCCCCGCGCCCACCGCCACAAGCTCTGCTGCCTGCGCCAGGAGCTGGTGGACGCCTTTGTGGAGCACAGGTGGGGAGCCAGGGCAAGCGGCTGCATCCTCTGGTGGGTGGTCCTGGGGCCTGATCCTTGATGGGGGAGGCTTTGGAAAGTGAAGAGAAGCTAGCTCTGGCTCTGGTCATCCCAGCCCCAGCGCCACCCACTGTGGCATCAGGCTCCCCAACACGGACATCCAAGAGCTTTATGTGGATCAGAAACTAGCAAGTGGCTAGACCAGTAGCTTTCAACTGACTGAAGCGGGGCTGTTCCCTCAAGGAGCACATGGAAATCTGCTTAGGTGTTTTTGAGCCTCCCAGTGCCAGGGCCCTGGAGGAGGGGCGGGGTTGGGGTCCCTGCTGCAGGCGTTTTGTGCTTAGGGGTCAGCCCGTCAAATGCCCCAGAATAATCTCCCCGTCAGAACGCCAGGGGGGGTTCCTGGCGCTCTCGAGCCCTGGGCTGCGTGTGAGCCCCCCGGCGCACCAGCTGTCCTCTTCCTGTCTGGGAAGATACCCATCATTGCTGTGACTTGCTGCCGCCGCCTGGTAGTACTGCTGCACTGGCACACGCACACGTGGGTGGACGCTTGCACGCTGGGTGGGATGTGTCCCCAGGCCGGCAGGGTGTCCAGCCCCAACATCCCTCATCCCCAGCAGGGCAGGAGCTGGGGCCTGGCTCAGGTCCCCCGAAGCCAGCAGGAAGCTGCCAGAGCAGTTACGCTTCTACGTACCCCGCCTCAATTCCCTGCTCTGCCCCATCCGCTGTGCTCTAGGTACCTCCTCTTCATGAAGCTGGCAGCCCTACAGCTGATGCAGCAGAAGGCCAGCAAGATGGAGACCCCCCCGTCACTGGAAAACGGCGACCCCCCATCCTCGGAGTCCAAGCCCGAAGACCCTCCAGCACCCGAGGTGGGAAGCGAGGAGGAGGGCGGCAGTGCTAGTGGCCTGGCCAAGGTGAAGGAGCTGGCAGAGACCATCGCCTCGGACGACGGGACAGGTGGGGCTGCCGTGGCTGCCGGGGGAGCCCAGGCCGGGGGAGGCTCGGCTGCTGCCCCACCGGAGCGGGAGTGGGGCTGCCTCCTAATGGGCAGTGTCTCCACAGCAGACCCTCGCAGTCGGGAGGTGATCCGCAACGCCTGCAAGGCTGTGGGCTCCATCAGCAGCACAGCCTTTGACGTCCGCTTCAACCCCGACATCTTCTCGCCAGGTGAATGGTCCTCTAGGGAGTGCTGGTGGGCCTGTTTGCCCACCTGAGGGCTGCCGTCTGTCTGGCCACCCGCCTCTCTTCTGCCTGGCTCACGCCTCTGCCCTCCCTCCCCCAGGGGTTCGCTTCCCGGAGTCTTGCCAGGAGGAAGTTCGGGACCAGAAGCAGCTGCTGAAAGATGCTGCTGCCTTCCTGCTCTCCTGCCAGATCCCCGGCTTGGTGAGGGCAGGGGTGGGACGAGGGACTGCCCAGAGGGTGCTGTTACAGGCTCTGGGGCCTCATCCATCTCCGACTCTGGAAGCTTGTGGAACCTTTGCGGGAGTGACTTAGGCCTGCTGACCTTTAAGGCAGGCAGGGTGGAGTTCTCCCCAGAATGGGGCTGCTGACACACAGGGCTCAAGGGAGGCATCAGGTTCTGCTCTGCATGCCCTCCCTTGTAGGCTGGCAGCTGGGGTCTGGCCCTCTGAGCCCCTGTGTGATGGGATGGCTGATAGAGGGGCTGGGGGCATCTTCACCCCCTCAAGCTTTGTACATAGGCCCTGTGTATGTACACGGTGCTTGCTCCCCACTAAGAGCCCTGAGCTTAGGTGCTGTGCTGTCCCCCGATCTTTTTTTTTTTAACATCTTTATTGGAGTATAATTGCTTTACAATGGTGTGTTAGTTTTTGCTTTTTAACAAAGTGAATCAGCTGTATGTATACATATATCCGCATATCTCCTCCCTCCCACCCTCCCTATCCCACCCCTCTAGGTGGTCACAAAGCACCGAGCTGATCTCCCTGTGCTATGTGGCTGCTTCCCACTAGCTATCTACTTTACATTTGGTAGTGTATATATGTCCATGCCACTCTCTCACTTCGTCCCAGCTTACCCTTCCCCCTCCCCGTGTCCTCAAGTCCATTCTCTACGTCTGCGTCTTTATTCCTGTCCTGCCCCTAGGTTCTTCAGAACCATTTTTTTTAGATTCCATATTTATGTGTTAGCATACGGTATTTATTTTTCTCTTTCTGACTTACTTCACTCTGCATGACAGTCTCTAGTTCCATCCACCTCACTACAGATAACTCAATTTAATATTCCATTGTATATATGTGCCACATCTTCTTTATTCATTCATCGGTCGATGGACGCTTAGGTTGCTTCCATGTCCTGGCTATTGTAAATAGAGCTGCAGTGAACATTGTGGTACATGACTCTTTTTGAATTACGGTTTTCTCAGGGTATATGCCCAGTGGTGGGATTGCCGTGTCCCCCAGTCTTTGAGCCGAGCCTGCCGTGCTGGCTGCCCCAGGCCCCTGCGAGGCGCAGCACAGCCGCGGGGTGAAGCTGTGGCCCTGCTTCTTCCTCTGCAATCACAGGAGACCCTGTGCGGCTCCCTCATCCCTGTTTCCCCGCCGTGTGGGCCCAGCAGTCACAGGGGTGATGGTGGCCTGTGCAGAAGGCTGGGGACAAGATCTCACATCCTTGCTGCTGCTTTGTCTCCTTCCCTCTTCCCGATTGGGAGCTGGGGTCTCAGTCCCCTCCTTCCCACAGGGCCTCAGGATAGCGTGAGCTCCCTTGGGAAGACCCAGGGCGGGAGGAGGCAGAGGCCCTGGGCTGGGGGGGCCTGACGTGCTGCAGCCCGCAGGTGAAGGACTTCGCAGACCACGCGGTGCTGCCCATGGATGGGGCCACGCTGGCCGAGGTGATGCGTCAGCGCGGCATCAACGTGCGCTACCTGGGCAAGGTGCTGGACCTGGTACTCCGGAGCCCGGCCCGGGACCAGCTGGACCACATCTACGTGAGTGGTACCCAGGGCGGCTGTGAGATGGTGGGGCTGGGATGGAGGCCTGGGGCCTGACCAAGACTCCCGTCTCTGCACCCTTGCAGAAGATCGGCATCGGAGAGCTCATCACCCGCTCTGCCAAGCACATCTTCAAGACGTACTTACAGGTACTGCGCTCCCTCCCCGGCCTGGGTCATGGGGATGTTGTGGGGAGCCCGGGTGGTGACACTGGTCCAACCTCCCTTGCAGGGGGTCGAGCTCTCGGGGCTCTCGGCTGCCATCAGCCACTTCCTCAACTGCTTCCTGAGCTCCTACCCCAACCCCGTGGCCCACCTGCCTGCCGACGAGCTCGTCTCCAAGAAGAGGAACAGGAGGAGGAGAAACCGGCCGCCAGGGGCAGCGGATAACACAGCCTGGGCGGTCATGACCCCCCAGGAGCTTTGGAAGAACATCTGCCAGGAGGCCAAGAACTACTTTGACTTCAGCCTCGAGTGGTACGTGACGGGTGCAGGGGCGCTGGGCTCCCGGGCAGCGTCCGGGTCCTCCGTGGTCGCTGGCAGTGGAACGGGGAGGAGAAAGCAGGGAGCCGTGGAGGGCCGCTTGCTTGGGGAAGTGGGGAGGGGAGCTGGGCGGGGGCTCGGGGGGGGGGGCAGCTGTGGAGAAGGGGGCAGAGGGGTGCTGGGCTGCCTGGGCCTACCCGCCGCTCCTCCCCAGTGAGACCGTGGACCAGGCCGTGGAGACCTACGGGCTGCAGAAAATCACGCTGCTGCGGGAGATCTCCCTGAAAACCGGAATCCAGGTGGGCTGGCTCAGAGCGTCCTGCAGGGCTCCCGGGGCCACGGGGGACTGGGCGGGGCAGTGCCGGCCGCTTGAGCCCGGGCTGAGGCTGCCTGCGGGTGCTGGGCTGGGTCCCCAGATTCTGCTGAAGGAGTACAGCTTCGACAGCCGCCACAAGCCCGCGTTCACGGAGGAGGACGTGCTCAACATCTTCCCCGTGGTCAAACACGTCAACCCGAAGGCTTCAGACGCCTTTCACTTCTTCCAGAGCGGGCAGGCCAAAGTACAGCAGGGTGCGTGCCAGGGGCAGCCGCGGGGCGGGGCTGGGGGGGGCGCGCACTCCCTCCGGCCGGCCCTGACCTTCCGCCCCCTGGGGTGCCCTGCAGGCTTCCTGAAGGAGGGCTGCGAGCTCATCAGCGAGGCCCTGAACCTGTTCAACAACGTGTACGGAGCCATGCACGTGGAGATCTGCGCCTGCCTGCGCCTCCTCGCCCGCCTCCACTACATCATGGGCGACTACGCCGAGGTGGGCCGCACGTACCCTCTGGGCCTTCAGCAGGGGCCCAGGGCCTGGTCTGGCACCAGCGGGGCGGAGGGGGCCATAGGGGGAGGTGGGGCTGCGTTCTCACCCCCGCGGCAGCAGGAAGCAGGAGTCCCGGCAGGTGGGACTGGAGCCCCTGTCACCCCAGGGGCCCGGGATGCTGCTGACCTCCGGGCCCCCCCAGGAGGAGCAGGTGGAGACCCGGGGAGGTGCTTGTTCTGCCTGTACGGCGGCCCGCCTCCCCTGCCCCCCCAGCTCCCCCCACTTAAGAGCTGTATCCTGGGGAGAGCTGCCGTGCCCGTGGACAAAGTGGGAGCGGTGGCAGGGCCTCCCTTCCCAGGGATGAGGGAAGGGTAAATTCTGACTCAGTACCTAGAGCCCTGTAAGCACCAGGGAAGCCGCTTGGGGTCTGTGCTGTTGCCTGTACCATCCTGGGGCCTGGTGGCGTTCACCTGCCTTGTTGGCCCCGGGGCTTGAGAGGCTGTTTCCTAGGCCAGGTGCACTGTAGGTGCCCCGCTCCCCCTTCCAGCCGTAGGACTCTTGTTTTCTTTCGCCTGTATGCCTTTTCTTATTACGAATACTTTATTCTTAGCACAATTTTAGATTAGTATGCACGTGTTGGCATAGATTAAGACAAGTGTTTTAAAATGTGAAGCAGCCTCAGAGCGGGCTGTCGACTTCCATGGTCACAGCAGCTGGATTTTGACCACTCTTCTGCTGCCTTTGTGCAAAGTAAAAATAGAAATTGCAGCCAAAGGTGAAGAGGCCGAGCTGCTATGGAGGCTTGTGGGCCAGGCAGACTGGGTGTGGGGCGGTACCACCCGGGGGTGACAGCCCCCCACCTCCCCAGGCCCTCAGCAACCAACAGAAGGCTGTGCTGATGAGCGAGCGAGTGATGGGCATCGAGCACCCCAACACCATCCAGGAATACGTGAGTAGCCGCCGGCGGCACGGCCTGCAAGGTGGGTGGGAGCCGTGGCTGCCCCGGCCTGACGCCGCTGCCCCCGCAGATGCACCTGGCCCTCTACTGCTTTGCCGGCAGCCAGCTGTCCACGGCCCTGAGCCTGCTGTACCGTGCCCGCTACCTCACACTGCTCGTGTTCGGGGAGGATCACCCTGAGATGGCCCTGCTGGACGTGAGTGCTGGGGAGGGGCAGCGGGACTAGCCTCGAGCCCGGGGAGTGGGAGCTGACCGGGGCCCTCCCGACTGCCCCCAGAACAACATCGGGCTGGTGCTGCACGGAGTGATGGAGTGTGACCTATCGCTGCGCTTCCTGGAGAATGCGCTGGCCGTCAGCACCAAGTACCATGGGCCCAAGTCCCTCAAGGTGGCCCTCAGGTGAGGCTGTGCTGGGTTAGGGGACAGGAAGGCCCCAGGCCCCAGGGTCCCCGGGAGGCGGTTGCATTGAGGGCGGGCACGGGATTCAGCACTCTGTCCCCCATCTGACTCCTGAGGAGGTGTCTCTCAACTTGCATCTCTTCTCTGAGTTCTGGACTTACCTTCCCCCTTGGAAAGTTCCCAGAGTGGTTCTGGGGTAGCCTGCACACCACCCAGCCGTCCCCACCGACCCATTCACGTCCCTCCCTCCCCTCCCCCTGCGCTGTGCCTGCCTGCAGCCACCACCTGGTCGCCCGGGTCTATGAGAGCAAAGCCGAGTTCCGGTCAGCCCTGCAGCACGAGAAGGAAGGCTACACCATCTACAAGACGCAGGTGGGCCACAGTGGGGCGGGGCGGGGTGGGGAGGGGCGGGGCTGCGGGCAGCCCTGACATTTTCCCGCCCCCTGCAGCTGGGCGAGGACCACGAGAAGACCAAGGAAAGCTCTGAGTACCTCAAGTGCCTGACCCAGCAGGCCGTGGCCCTGCAGCGCACCATGAACGAGATCTACCGCAACGGCTCCAGCGCCAACATCCCGCCCCTCAAGGTGGGTCCCCGAGCGGGACTGGGTGGGCCGCACCCCGGCCTCCTGGCACCCAGGCAGTGGCTCATCCTCCCTGCCCCTCAGTTCACAGCCCCCAGCATGGCCAGCGTCTTGGAGCAGCTGAACGTCATCAACGGCATCCTCTTCATTCCTCTCAGGTGAGGCGCCCCACTCCCGCTTAGAAGTTGGCCTTTATTTTTTTTCTTGGTTTTTTAAATAAATGATACATTGACATGGCTCAAAATTGAAAAGTATAGCCAGTGGCAAGGAGTCCTTATGAATCCTTCCAGAAATACTCTGTGTAATTGGGCAAACAGATCTGTAACCGTTTTTCCCCTTTTCTTCCCCAAGGCGCAAAATTGTAGCGAGCTGTGCCCATAGGTATTTTTCTCCTGCACTTACTCTATCTTGGCGATCGTTGCGTGTCAGTATGTAAAGAGCAGCGTCATTCCTTCTCTGGACTCCTGCTCTGTCAGTGTAGCGATGTGCCTTAGAGCCGGGCCCTGAGGGTCCCTGTGCGGCTCTCACAAACAGTGCTGTCTTCGAAAGCCCGCGCGCCGTCTCCCTCCCACCTGTGTGCCGGATGGGTTTGGTCAGCTCAGTGTTTCGGCATTTACAGCGTATCTGCTCTGTGTTGCACCCTACACCTGTTTTTTTGGGTGTAATCGGCTATAGGAGCGGCCGGGGTGCAGTGGGTTTGAACTGGGCCTGAAGGCTGGGTGGGAGCCAGGCCTTAAGTGGAGGCCGTCAAGTGCGTGCAGTTCCTACTTTTTCAGCACTCGGGGGCCTTTCTGTTTGCGGGAGGGAAGCCCTTGTTCCACACGTGTGTCTCACTGCAGAGAGCACAGAGCCTGATCTTGTTCTAAGTTTAAGCAGAGCCAGTGAGGTGACGGAGGGCCCAGGCCCACTCTGATACCCACCCTTCGCCCCGTCCTTCTACTCAGCCAAAAAGACTTGGAGAATCTGAAAGCCGAGGTGGCACGGCGGCACCAGCTCCAGGAGGCCAGCGGGAACAGGGATAAGGCTGAGGAGCCCAGGGCTACTGAGCCAGAGCCAGCAGGGGCCTCAGAGGATGCGGCCTCCCAGCCCCCAGCTGCCAAGGACCCTCCTTCCTTGAGCTTGCAGGGGTAGGAAGGGAGACACAGACAGACAGTCGGCCAGCTGCCCCGTTACCCAGCGATCCAGACTCCAGGAGAAGGGGACGTGCCCTGCACATCAGGAGAGGCAGCAAGTCCTCTTCCTCCACGCTTCCAACCCCACCCTGCCCCCAGCATCCTCCTGGGACCCTGGCCTGGCCTGCCTGACCCTCTGAAAGATGTTCTTGCACTGGTTCGAAGAGTATACGACGCAGAGGCCTAATCGAAGACACGTGAATGGAGCGCGTGGGCATCAGTTCCCAGCTGGCGGACAGGTGCCCCCTCGGGCCCCCCATCCTCAAGCAGGTGTGCGCGAGTGTGTCTGTGCCCGTGAGTGTCCTGACCCGCCCTTCCTGACTTGTACATAGCCCCGAGCCGGTTCGGAGTGGGTGGGTGATGTCCAGGTGAGATTTCTCAGGTCATTTGTATGTTTGACATTATGGCTGCTGCTTTTGCTGCCACTACCCCCGGGCCCGACCTGGCTGAAAGTCCAGGTTTGAAGCCGAAAAGAGGGGAGCTTTCCTGTGTCCTGAGTTGGGGAGCCAGAGCTCTGTGGCAGGGCTGGACGGTTGGGGAGCACTTTATGGCAGGGTGAGGGCCGCAGCAGCTTTACTAACCACGGGTGGGCCGGGCCTGGCCCGGCTGTGCTCGGGGTCAGGAAGGGGTTGGGCGTCGGTGGTTCCCAAGCCCCGGCTTGTTGGCCCTTGGGCCCCAGCAGGAGGTGCTGCCTTCCCACTCCCCGCACCCCAGCTGGGGCTAACCTTGGGGTATAGTCTGAATGTATCCTCCCTGTTGAACAACCTCAGCTGCCTAACGCACAGGGGGGTGGGGGGGACCCGGACTGAATCATGGATCCCGGGGGAGACGTCACAGATACAGGAGTGACTGTCCCTTGTTTGTGGAGCTTAGCTCCCTACCTGGTCCTAGGACACACAGGCACCTCCTACAGAGAGGAGCTCTGGGAGTGGAAGGGAGGAGGCTGCAGAAGGTGGTGGGCCCACAGGCCCGGCTGCCAGTGCCGCTTCTCTGGGCCTGCTGTCAGAGCCCTAGCAGGTGGGCGGAGACGGCCACCCTTGGGAGCTGGAGGGCGCGCGGTCCTGCGGCTGGGGCCTCCGCCTGGTGGCTCTGCACGGAGCCGCGGCCGGGTATGGCCTGTCCCAACGCCTGGTTTCAAAGGGAGTGGGTGCGAGCTAGCAAGCGAGGCATCCCCACAGCTGATCAAGAACTTTTTCTTGTTTTTAAACCATCAGTCTTCATTTCACATTGGAATAAAGTGAGTTTTTGAAACCTGCTGTCCCGGCCTCTCCTGTGTGTTCTGTACCAGTCTTGTTTGGTTCTGAGAGTCGTTTCCAGAAGTGGTACTAGTAAGAGTTTAAGGCACATGAATGTGTAAAATTAGGTCGCACTCAAAGCTATCCTTATAATGTCATTTAAGTGGGAGGAAAGGGGGTAGAGCCGCAGGCACCCACCTAGGGCTTACCAGTCTGCCCATCAGTAGACCCATGGGAGTGGCATACAGATGAACATCACCTGTTGTTGGCCACAGAAGAAAAGGCTGAGAATCGCTCCTATACAGGGCCCTGTGGTTCAGGCTGGGGTGAAGGGTGCTGCAAGGTGAGGGCCCAGGCCTGGGCATGCTGGCCCTGGTAGGCTGTTGAAGACCTAACTGGGCATCTGCCCTTGTCCCTTTGCTTGTCAGGAGGACTGGGCGGCGCCCCCCAGAAAACTAGGGGTGCTAGAATGGGGGGTGTCTAAAGTTTGCCATCCTAGGTGGGTCCTCGTGGAGATCTAATGAATGGGGGGAAGTGGAGCCCACCTAGGTGGGCTTGAGAGGCCGGGCCTGTGAGATGGGAGGGTTGTGGGCAGGAGGCCTGTCTCAAGAGGAGAAGTGTCTACAGCAGGCCGGCCCTCAGCCTCATGCGTAGTTAAATGCCTTTTTGAATACTTGGAGAGTCCTTTGTGTCTGACGTTGTGGAAAAAAAAATTCCAACCCTGACGTCTGTTTTCTTGAGCCAACTGAAAAAAAGATGTCCCTGACATCGTCGAGGTTTTCTTCTAAGTGATGCCCAAGGATGCTCGCTCCCACCCCGCTTTACAGTCTCCTGGTTGTGTTCTGAACGTTCATCCCTTCCTAGAGTATTTATCCTGTGAACGCCAGCCACGTGTTTCTCAGCACTTCTAAAATTGTGGGCATGATCTTGTAAAGCTGAGAAGGGATCAAGTGTAATTACCATTGTACCTACTAGTCACCTGAGAGGCCCATTTTTCATGGTTGATCCCTTAAGCGTATTGGTGCTGTCAGGTGCCTTTTGACAACCGAAATGATGAGGGATTGTTGTTTTATGAAGGACACAGAGGTGTGAAATCCACCTTTTCTCCTCTTAGTTGACAGATCGCAAATTTTTGAAAAGGGTGAAGAGTGGTATCCAGGAAGGGTTAGTGTGAGAACTGGCATGCAGGTCGTGGGGCAGCTGCGTGAGATGGAATACAGGTCTAGCTTGTGTGAGCCTCTTTGTGTCCCCCACTCTGGTCTTTCACTTTCTGCTCTACTTTTCTTCCCTGTTTGCATTTCTCTTAACATGCGTATTACTTTTACAACTTAAAAAATATTTTTAAAAGAACTGTTACTGGGCTTCCCTGGTGGCGCAGTGCTTGGGGGTCCGCCTGCCGATGCAGGAGACGCGGGTTCGTGCCCCGTTTCGGGAGGGTCCCGCGTGCCGCGGAGCGGCTGGGCCCGTGAGCCGTGGCCGCTGGGCCTGCGCGTCCGGAGTCTGTGCTCCGCAAATGGGAGAGGCCACAGCAGTGAGAGGCCCGCATAACGCAAGAAAAAAAAAAAAAAAAAAAACTGTAAGTTGTATCATCTGTCTCCACTTGCTCCTGCCCTCCAGACTCATTGTTTTTTTGTTTTAATTGAAGTGTAGTTGATTTACAATGTTGTGTTTCTGGTGTACAGCAGTGATTCAGTTGTACATTATCTATGCCTATGTATGTGTATGTATGTATTCTTTTTCATATTCTTTTCCATTATAATTCAGTACAGGATGTTGAATATAGTTCCCTGTGCTACACAGTAGGACCTCGTTGTTTATCTACTTTATGTATAGTAGTTTGTATCTGCTAATCCCGAACTCCTAATTTATCCCTGCCCCACCCTCTTCCCCTTTGGTAACCATAAGTTTGTTTTCTATGTCTATGAGTCTGTTTCTGTTTTGTAAATAAATTCATTTCTGTCATATTTTACATTCCACATATAAGCAGTATCATACGGTATTTGTCTTTGACTTAACTTAGCATAATAATCTCTAGGTCCATCTGTGTTACTGCAAATGGCATTATTTCATTGTTTTTTATGGCTGAGTAGTATTCCATTTTATATATGTACCACATCTTTATCCATTCATCTCTTGATGGACATTTAGATTGCTTCCATGTCTTGGCTACTGTATTGTGCTGCTATGAACACTGGGGTGCATGTGTCTTTCTGGATTAGGGTTTTCTCCGGATATATGCCCGGGAGTGGGATTGCTGGATCACTATTTTTAGTTTTTTAAGGAACCTCCATACTGTTTTCCATAGTGGCTGTTATCAATTTACATTCCCACCAACAGTGTAGGAGGGTTCTCTTTTCTCCACACCCTGTCCAGCATTTATTATTTGTAGTCTTTTTAATGATGGCCATTCTGACCAGTGTGAGGTGATACTGCATTGTAGTTTTGATTTGCATTTCTCTAATAATTAGCAATGTTGCGCGTCTTTTCATGTGCCTATTGGCCATCTGCATGTGTAGAAATGTCTGTGTAGGTCTTCTGCCCATTCTTTGATTGGGTTTTTTTTTTTTTTTTTGTAATTGAGTTGAATGAGCTGTTTGCATATTTTGGAAGTTAAGCCCTTGTCGGTGGCATCATTTGCATTGTTAAATGTGAATATTGAGAGAACTGTTAGACTTAGTTGAGGAATTCCTACATATCCTGAAGGTGAGAATAAGGTATCCTGATGTGGCCCAAGTATTTCCTGCAACCACCCCC